ATTAGGTGTTCATCTCTAACCATTTCTCTACCTTATTCCTGCCTCTCTCCGTCTCTTTCTCTGCCATTCAAATCGCGCGATTAAGCTTAAATCGTGAGCAAGTATCCACAATACATCTGCGCCGCTCGGGCTACGGCTAAGACCCTTTCCATCAGCCCATTTCCATTTACATTTGTTTCGTACAGAAATCCCAAGACTTCGCCTCGTCACGGTTATAAACCGCGGTCTCGAAGTATAATCGCCGCAGATAAAATCTCAACTCCTCTGTACAAAAAACTAGAGAGGCTAGACTCCCCGGGCGTGGTGCACAGCGACGAAGATAACGTCGGAAATATGAGATCCGGGAACTTCCAAGGCGCACGGGTAATTGTATACGAGCCTACAGTAATTATACATGAACCTTCGGTCTGACGGCGCAGCTCGTGTAACGCACACGTGACTTCCCGAGCGTTATTTTTAACACCTATCGTCCCACCCCGCACGCTGTTCGCGCCTTTAATCGCACCCGGCGCCTATTCGTTTATTCATCTGTCCGACATATAGAGATAATTCGAGAATTCGAGAAGATTCCGAGAAGACCACCCCTCGAGCGTGGCTTGAAATATTCGATCCGAAAGTATTTTGCTTATACCCTCTAACTCTCTCTCATTCTCTCTCTCTCTCTCTTCCTCGCTCGGTTAGCCAAGATTCCTCGGTGGCACTTCGCCTGACTCGTTAGTCATGGTAGTTAGTCATGCTACGTGCATCTCGTCTCGAGAACGACCAAGAGGAAGACGAGTGCAGCGGAGTGAAAGAGGCGGTTCGTTCCGAGAGGGGTTGGTGGGACCGTAGCCACCCTAAGAGGGATAGAGGCCTCACGAGCGCTCTTTCTCGTTCTTCCTCCACTTCCTCTTCTCAGCGGCGTGTGCCCCCCGATCCCCCCTCGAAACCACACTTCGGAGACTTCGATGCGTTTGAGGCGTGCCGCGGCTGCACAGCGGCTATTTTTGTATGTACCTATGTACACGCACCGGCATAAATGCTGTCCCCTATCCTTGTGAGGTGCACGCACACAACTAGAGTCCCTGTAGTTGTGTGCGTGCACCTCACAGGGATAGGGACAGCATTTATGCCGGTGCGTGTACATACAGCCCGTGTAACATGTCGGACGTACAGCCGGCATCAGAACGGTCGAGGAGCATGCCTTCTTCCCTTCGTTCCGTAGGCAATATCTCTCTCGAGTTTATTCCCCGGTAAATTAAAGAAGGGTAACAGGTGTATCGGCTTGTTAGGATATTAACAGAACGCTCCTGCGCCCTGGCCGATAAATCACCGCGCGCAGTACGCATTCAACGTTGTAACGACCTTATTATTATCACCTTCCGTGATTTATATAGAAGTGAGCCTGCGGAAAAGTTGCCCGCTAAGTAAAAAAAGCGCCCGAACCGTTCCGACGCCGATAAATCACGACGTACCCTCACGCGCGTGAACGTCCGTACGCGAGTGCCCGTTTTACTTGTTCCCCCACGTATGTGTATGTACGCGCGCACGTCCGTGCGTGCGTGCGTGCGTGCGTGTGTGTGTGTGTGTGTGTGTCTCACGACACCGGTTTCATAACGGCAATACGATCGTTCCCGAAATATTCCCGGCGACTCGAACTCGCGGAACTCGGGTCGCTCGAGGCCAGGAATAAAGGCGATTAGGCGAGCCGCAGCAATAAAGATAAGCCGACGGAGGATAGCTCGCGAGGACAACGCTCCCCTGGCGTTATGAGACTGGCACGTGATTCGCGTCGCTTGTATGTGTCGTCCTTACTCCTGTCTTCGCCCTCGTCCGAACGTCCCCCTGTGTTCTCCGGCTGCTTTGTGTCCTTTCAAGCTTGACAAAAAAAAAAGGAAGAAGACCAAAGTACCGTTCTCTCTTGTCGCGCGGATGTAATGCAATGTACCTTTTCGCCACTTTGCTTCGTGCACCCTCGTATCTCCGTAGCAAATTCAAACGACCTGCGTTCTCGGCGGAACGTTGATCGAAGAAACGAAGAAAATCGGGGGAAAAGAAAAGTCCCGTGAGCCTCTTCATAATTTATTTTGTGTCGGGAAATTTGGAGCTTGAGAATAACTCGATACAAAGTCTCGGGCAGGCGCGCGCTTGCTCTTTTTGTAAATAACACGATAATTTTAGTATTATTTTAATAGAGAAAAAATCGGTTTTTTTGACGTTGGATTCAAATGGATTAAACGATACGTTTGTCGCTATTTTACTTTTTGTATTGTTAATATATACGTATATATTTATATTGAAATTATAACGTTTTGTTATATTGGAATTTTAACGTTTTTACACATTCACTTTTGTACTTTTATCTCTTTCAAGCGAATTTTGAAATTAAAAATTCCATTTGTAGCATTGCATAATGACAAATTTATTCAAGCTCCAATTGAACGCGAACGTGTTATTTCATTTATCGCCGAGTTTCTAATTGGAGCGAACGAACGTTTTTATGCAATTTATTCTATTTGCGTTTGAATTCTTTAATGTTGTTTGCCGACGCGTAACGAGAAGCATGGTCCACTTTGGGAAAAGGTTCTTTGCTCAGCTAAAACCCTAGTAGCACAATATATTGGCGCAATATTGGGAAATAATGCAAATCTAGTATTCCCAATACTGGTCCAATATTGTAAGATGGATGCCTTCTCTTATTTAGCCAATATGTCTAACAATATTGGTCTAATATCGTATCAATATTAGACCAACATTGTTGTTACATTGTTAAATATTGGCCAGTGCACTTTTAATATAAATCTAATATTATATAATTATTATCGCGTAATATTTGCATTTATTCCATGGCCAATATTGGCTTTACATTGGACAATATCGGCCAATGCATTTCTAATATAACCAACATTGGATTAATATTTAGCCAGTGTTTAGCCAATGCACTGTGCTACTAGGGGAAGATTCTCGTTTACCGCTAGGTGTACATTTGGAGAAAATGAATATTTTCGACAATCCTGATTACGCGAGAAGCATGTAATTGTGTTAATGAACCTGTTGGACGCACGATAGACGTTGGGTTTTAATGAGCGACGGTACATACATTGTACATTGCATGTGTTTCACCGCACTCTTTAGTAACGTAGTCATATTTAGACCCACCCTCCCGATAAAGAGATCGACTCTCGTGTAGCTACCAAGAAGATATCGATTCATAGTTCTTGTAATCTAGTCTAGACACTTTGGACTTCTACGTTTCATGCTTCGCACTTGAAATTCTTCTGACCTTTCAAGATGAACTACGGACTTATATTTACGAAGATGTACGCGCGTATACGGGATGTCCCTAAATCTGCGTCTATGTCCCACGCGACGAGATTCTTTGACTGATTTAAAATTTTCGATATTTTCCTTAACAAAAATATCACGGAGTATTAACAGTCTCTGTATTGTATCGCGGACGATTAAAAATTGAAACGTTTCCTCGAGCGAAACTTCACAGTCGCTAGTACGTGTTAAAATTTCGCGCTCCAATAAATTTCAAGTGAACTTTACTTAAACGGAACTCTAATTAAAAGTTATGTTATCGCGAGGTGTTTAATATTGAACGATGAAAAATTATAGGCGCGAATGGTGTTTAATACAATTTTCATTGGGAAAAAATCGACGCGGGATTAATCAAGAAATCTCGGTGGAGCACGAACGCAAAATTGGGAACAATTTCCCCGTGTGTACAACATATACAAATCTACGTATATTGTATATATATGCATGCACACGTGTACTCTCAGATATTCGTGTCTGAACGACTTTTGCGTGGACACGAAATACTAAAGTAATATTTTAAGTAATTACGTATACAAAATTTCGTACATTGCTAAGAAAAAATGTTCAAAACGTTTAATAAAATTATATTCAGTAAAAAAAAATCGTGCCAATTGTTTATACATGTGCAACGAAGGCTTATAGTTTCAAATTGTGATTCAGTATTGTACTGATGCGATATCGCTTCTTCTGTTATTTAGATATACTTTTATAGCTGCCCTTTCCCTATCATAGTTTATAGTTTTCTTGCACAATTCCTTATGGTCTGTGTATTAGTCAAAATATATGTAACTTCCTCCTTTCGTTTAACTCCATGCAAGATTGAGCAACTGTTGCATCTATATATATGTATTAGATGTGCCGACATAATGGACACAAGAGGGTGAGTTATTTTTCATAATAAATAAATGCGAAGATTTCCAAGTCTTATCTTATACTTTTTATCTCCGGCGAGACATTTTATTCTCCGCTTCAAGAAAGCATATTTTCTATCTGGAACGTACAAAGTAAACATAAGAATCAAGGGAAAGAGGAAATTTTGCTCTACTAGATAAATAAAGATGTATGGCTATACCGTATGGTACAAATAGATTTATTTAGGGATATAAAATCCTATTTAAAAATACCACGCTCCGCGGACCATAAATTTCAGCAGCTCTACTCCCGTAGGAATGCGCAAGAAGTCTCTGAAGTATGAGCTTAGTTCTGTCTCTTGATGTAAGTACCAGATGGTCTTTAATAACCCATCAAAATGTATGGCGATGTAAGTGTAAAAAATAACGATTGACGACTGAACATTATTTTAGACGTCGCATTTGATGAATAAATGAGATTGTTATCTGAGAATGCTGCTTATTATCGTGTTCACCGAAATTAAACTTTCTTACAATTATAAAATGGTCATTTCTAAATCAATTTGTAATTTTATAGCATATAAAATAGATAAAACAGACATTTTTAGTTTCTCGTATGTATAAAATTAATCATAATTAGCTTAATAAATAGAAGCAAATTATTTTTAAATTATAAATTAATACTTGTCTAACAATAAATTATACGAATATTTACTAATTATAAATTTATTTTACAAATTTATTAACTCTTAAAATATCTCTGCTTCCTTTAGAGAGTAAGAAAGTAAGTTAGAAAATCTTAAATTTTTCTCGGTCAAGCGAGTATAAAATAAAAATGAAAAAATATATTATAAAAATTTCAATTTTATTACATTAAAATTATAATATTCAACTATTGTAAATTGAGCCATTTATATGCATATTTCGTTCTTACAATGTGATATTTTGAATTTATACAGATTTGTTATTATATAAAAATCTATTATTTTCTCGGGTAGAAACTTTACATGTATTATTATATATAAGTATAATGCATTTAACTTTCATAGAAGTTACATAAATTAACAAATATTCAGACAAATTTTATATCTACTTATTCACATTTTTGTATCGGATAGAAATGTCACAGATAAAGTTCAAAGTCTACTCTAGCAGCATTATAAAATTGATTCTGCTGTCCGGTTCTTCTGACCCAGGCACCCTTTTTGAAATATCCCTCTTTCGCCCACGCATGCATTTGCTGACTAGTATGAGGCCCATTTACTTCTGCATTCTCATCTTGCGACCATTTCAGATCCCATGTTACGTTTTCTTCTAGCGATGTAGTTTCTTCCGCTTCGGTTGCTTCCGCAGTCTTTCCTGTATGGTATGCATATGCGCATTATGTATATGTATCCACGATACAAAACAATTTCTATATGAGAAAGGAAAGCAGCAATAATAACGCGTGAAAACGTTAGTCATTAACAAGTTGTGTTACACACCACTATCGGCGTCACCCAATTTTGCCTTCTCCTTTTTATCAAAATCATCAGAATACATATCTAGTTCCGCTTCTTGTTTCGAAGGGTGTGCATGTTTGTCTGCTTGTTCAATCTACGAAACATAATTTTTTAAAAATGAAGATAACAATATATGCCGCGTATAAATATTATATAGTTTTTTACCTTCTTTTTAATTTGTTCGTAACTTTCTTGATATATGTCCATATTACCGGTGCGTGTTAATAATTCATTTGCTAGTTCTGTTAATTTTGTTATGTTAACAGAATTTGGATCTTCCTCCTCTACATGCGTTTTAGGCTCCTTTTTCTTTTTCCATCTTTCAGCTGTAGTCAATTTCCTTTTCCCTTTACCTGGATTGGAACATCCTGCATTTACTCGCGATAGTTTGAAGACTCTATTTAGTATTAGATGCTCTATTTAGTAATTATGTTTACCAAGTCTGCACAACGTCTTTGAAACGGTTTCACCTGGTTTAAGATACTCTAAAATTTGTTTATATAGTGGAATAGGATCAAACAAAATGTCTCCTTCATCGTCACTGTCGCTGTCTCCCAAACCAGTATTTTCGCTCGACTTGGTACTCTTTTGCGCATTAGTGGAATCGGGTTTGACCTACATATAAAAAATGCACGTGGTAATATTTTCTCAACATTCAGAAACCATTACACAATTTAAGAAAATATTTTGTTTTAAAAGTTTGGAGGATAATCTAATTCTTAGGAGTGTGAACTTTCTATTGTACAAAGGAAGAGTTGTACATTTTTACACGCGCGGATCGGTTAATCCTCAGGCATTGATTTTACGTTACATTCATTAATTTCACTGACCTGGACCCAATCAATATTGTCCAACCAGTTGTCCCTTATCTGCTTCTCTTTCTTCCAAAGGTAATGACCTTCTTTATCAAAATGTCCTTCCTCCAGCTCTTCTTTCATATTAAATGCTGTAAAACCCACGTTTGCTTCTGGCGCCGAGGGTCCATCTTCCGTACCTGTTATGCAAATATAATTAAGCTATTCCATAGTTGTACAAAATAATGTACAAAATAAGTACTGACAATTAAAATGCTAACGGTAAACATATTGATTTATTCACAATAACGTCGCGCATCCAAACCCAAATATACCTTCGAATTCATCCTCATTCATGATGTTATAAGTATCCTCATTTACTTCGTCGTCATCCTCGTCGGAGTCCAGCGAGTTCTTAAGCGGTTGCTTACCGAGCACACCTTCCATATTATCGAACTTGCGTTTCGACATGATTTCTGTATGCAAGTGTCCTTTTTCACCAAAGACAGTAGTCTGCCTTAAAAGGTTACGTCATTAGAAATTTTATTTGTATCACAAATTCAATAATTATCACGTATTCTAAGACGGTAAGATATAAGATATATTCTGGTTATACGTTCTAAGATACAACAATTTTTTCATATTCGAAAATACAAAGATGTTTTTGAAATATAATAGTTGGATATCACATACGTGTGAAGGAAGCGGTGTAGCGACGTTTCTCGCTGTAGAAAATTCCTGTGTACGAATTCCAATCGGTGCCCGAGGTTAAAGAGGTTAGTTCCACAGCCAGGTTAAACCTGCTCGCGGCGTAGTTTCCAACCGTTCGTTCCAAGTACTTCGCGCACCTAAAGCTCACTCACAAATGTTTCTCCTGTTTTCAATCGCGACTCGCGTTTAGATGCTAATCGTGAGTAAAAAGCTCCAAAACTGTGCCGCTCGACGCGACAATCGGGAAGGGATAACATGGTGTGCTCAGT